GGACGAATCGATCTACAACGAAGAATTGTGTTTGCTTAAACGATGTACAGGAGACAGGACTATTTTTTGCACCCATGCGCTGCGCACGGATCCCTTGTCCCTAGAAAATTAATTGGAATCGACGCGATTTCAAAATTCAAGTGTTAGCGTATAAATACGTTATTTTTAATTTTAATTGGAAACGTGCGAATTTTTTTCTATTGTTTTTTGTTTATCTTTAATCTTGCAACGTCCACACGTGGGTAACAGCAACAATTTTAAATTTTCGGTCTTGTTTATTACATTCATCGGATCGAAAAGTTCTGTTATCGTCGTTACACTTGACATATTATCCAGATTCCTATAATATTTTAATATTTTTCTGTCAATATTTTCTATCAGAAGTTGTTACGATGAAATTCATTGTAATATTATTTGTATATTTTTTTATTTCCTTTTGTATATGTACGTGTAAGAATTAAAATAATTGATGAAACCATACAAATAAAAAATCTTTACATCTCGGAAGGACACTTTCGCGATAATCGTTAGGATTTCGAAAGCACGTTAAAAAACACACACGCAGAAACTGTACGCTGTTGTGTGAAAATACTGATAATGCCGACGCGAACATGGAAAAATGCGTACGCCATGGAGTCTTCGAGTGCAGAATTTATTCTAATAATGCAACGAAAATTATCCGCGCCTCTGCGCCGTAAATATGTCGGTCTCGTTGAAAAACAACGCGAAGTACATCGTTTGTAGAATGTTAATAAACCCAAGTGCGGTTCTTTTGAAACAAATTCGGCGGCATTCTATTGTTCGAGTGGTGAACGCGTACACGCGAATATCTGGCTAAAGCGAGAAATCTGGCACGTTGCTCTTCGCGTGCGCGGAGAGCTATGCGACTAGAAACAATGCCACTTTGAACTAGCTATATTTATATTTTCCAGGTTTGCAGCACTTTTGTCGCGCTCCTTCGTTAACGTTGGATAATTATGTCCACCCGAATTCCGTCTATGACGTTGGGTGTAATGCGCGAATTACAAGCCGCTGTTGTTCATTCCAAAATGTAATTAGAACACACTGTTGAATATTCTAGAGACAAGGAAACACATTCGCGTCAATTTTAATGAAATGTGTGACAAAGAAGAGTTCTTAACATGATCTCATGATTTCTATGATCTTGGAAACGAAACTTTTTTGGTTGTCAACTTTGAAGGGATAATAAACAGATCACCATATTTTTTCTACAGATCTCATGGTGTATTGTTCTAAAGTTGCACAATTTAGTACGGGAACTTGAATCGCGTTAAATAATTGTTTCTAAATTAGATAATGAAAACGATTCGTTGGAATGGAGTATTTAATCGCATAAAATACTTAATTATATACAACGTGATTAAAATAAATTATACTTAATTATCTTTGAAAAATTTATAGTCAATTATATCGACAGGTTTAGAACACTATGCGTATTGCACTTTAACTAATCACAAAATAAATAAATAGAGCAACGAACATATTGGCACAGTTATAAAAAAAACACATAACAATGTGTAATTTTTTTGGAATTTTATGGAAAATATTTTTCCCAATGGTCTATAAAAGTAATACAAATTATGGTTAGGCTTATTATGCAATATTAGGCTTATTATATTATTATATTAGATTATGTTTCCCTTAGTCGTGAAGGGGTTAAAAAATAAAACAATGAACAAGTTCGATGTATCTTATCCGATAAATATTAGGCGAATTATGCCCGAAAACAAGCCAAAGGCGGAGCAATTGGTCAGCCCACGGTAACCGGCTCCGCTACCCACCACCACACGATAAGGCGATGTCCTCGTTATACTCGCGAGACTGCAGAAACTAGGCACTTTTAGCGGTCGGTATGACAGTCGATTGGCAAAACTGTGTACACATTTGCCATTCGAATGAACGCCCTCCACTGGCCAAACAGCTTGGGGCCTAGGCAAGCACGCCTAGCCGTGATCTATCTCAAAACACAACCGTCAGTTTCCGATTCCCTGGTCAGCCGAACCATTGAATGGGAATAGTTCCGCCCCGGTGCCGCAGCCACCGCCGAGAACAATTAGAGAAGATCATGCGGGATCCCGTGTTAACGCTCCTAGCAGCGGATCTAATATTTAACAGCGCGTTACGCGGCCGCGGCGGGCGACGTGTGTGCCGGTTTGTTCGACAAACAATAGACTTGCCGAGTAAGCGGCCGCTGGGTGCGACGCGACGGTGCTCCGATGCCGTCCTCCTCGAAGATGGCTGAGGTGGTTTGCTGCGAGATGCGCGGGTATTATATCGGCGGCCGATTATATCGGTAGACGCTGATAGGGAGTAAATGGAAGCCCGGCGTCAGCATTCGAGGGTGGCTCTCGAACGGCGTCGCGCGCGTCGTTCGACCTCTTCAGCGACGCCCGCCACGCTCTGCTGCTTCGAACAATGCCGGTCGCGGGTACTCGCTTCACCCGCGAAGTATCATCGTCCAATTTACGCGGGGGCACCTGAGAAACACGCTGCGGGAGGCGAGGGGGGGGGGGGGGGAAACGGGGGGGGGGGGGGGAAACGGGGGGGGGGGGGGGAAACGGGGGGGGGGGGGGGAAACGGGGGGGGGGGGGGGAAACGGGGGGGGGGGGGGGAAACGGGGGGGGGGGGGGGAAACGGGGGGGGGGGGGGGAAACGGGGGGGGGGGGGGGAAACGGGGGGGGGGGGGGGAAACGGGGGGGGGGGGGGGAAACGGGGGGGGGGGGGGGAAACGGGGGGGGGGGGGGGAAACGGGGGGGGGGGGGGGAAACGGGGGGGGGGGGGGGAAACGGGGGGGGGGGGGGGAAACGGGGGGGGGGGGGGGAAACGGGGGGGGGGGGGGGAAACGGGGGGGGGGGGGGGAAACGGGGGGGGGGGGGGGAAACGGGGGGGGGGGGGGGAAACGGGGGGGGGGGGGGGAAACGGGGGGGGGGGGGGGAAACGGGGGGGGGGGGGGGAAACGGGGGGGGGGGGGGGAAACGGGGGGGGGGGGGGGAAACGGGGGGGGGGGGGGGAAACGGGGGGGGGGGGGGGAAACGGGGGGGGGGGGGGGAAACGGGGGGGGGGGGGGGAAACGGGGGGGGGGGGGGGAAACGGGGGGGGGGGGGGGAAACGGGGGGGGGGGGGGGAAACGGGGGGGGGGGGGGGAAACGGGGGGGGGGGGGGGAAACGGGGGGGGGGGGGGGAAACGGGGGGGGGGGGGGGAAACGGGGGGGGGGGGGGGAAACGGGGGGGGGGGGGGGAAACGGGGGGGGGGGGGGGAAACGGGGGGGGGGGGGGGAAACGGGGGGGGGGGGGGGAAACGGGGGGGGGGGGGGGAAACGGGGGGGGGGGGGGGAAACGGGGGGGGGGGGGGGAAACGGGGGGGGGGGGGGGAAACGGGGGGGGGGGGGGGAAACGGGGGGGGGGGGGGGAAACGGGGGGGGGGGGGGGAAACGGGGGGGGGGGGGGGAAACGGGGGGGGGGGGGGGAAACGGGGGGGGGGGGGGGAAACGGGGGGGGGGGGGGGAAACGGGGGGGGGGGGGGGAAACGGGGGGGGGGGGGGGAAACGGGGGGGGGGGGGGGAAACGGGGGGGGGGGGGGGAAACGGGGGGGGGGGGGGGAAACGGGGGGGGGGGGGGGAAACGGGGGGGGGGGGGGGAAACGGGGGGGGGGGGGGGAAACGGGGGGGGGGGGGGGAAACGGGGGGGGGGGGGGGAAACGGGGGGGGGGGGGGGAAACGGGGGGGGGGGGGGGAAACGGGGGGGGGGGGGGGAAACGGGGGGGGGGGGGGGAAACGGGGGGGGGGGGGGGAAACGGGGGGGGGGGGGGGAAACGGGGGGGGGGGGGGGAAACGGGGGGGGGGGGGGGAAACGGGGGGGGGGGGGGGAAACGGGGGGGGGGGGGGGAAACGGGGGGGGGGGGGGGAAACGGGGGGGGGGGGGGGAAACGGGGGGGGGGGGGGGGGGGGGGGGGGGGAGCGAAGAGAAAGAAGCGCCGGCGGAAGGAAAACTGTCAACGCCGACAAAGGCGGATGAAAGGGAGCCGCTGATAAGTGACTTCGATTCGTGCGTGTACAACGGAGCTCGCGAATCACCGGAAGCCCCGATATCGATGATAATTTCTCGAGTGGAACGAAGGGCTGCGGGTATTCGATCCGCTCGCGCGTTAAGGACACTTACAGCCTTACTTGAAATCGACTCGGTTTCGTCACGAGTATCCCGCTTCGTACGAAGACCCGTTGCTTTGGATACTCGATACACGGGTCGCTCCATTGGTGAACATTGGCAGCTTTTAGCCGTGACCGATGGGTGATCTGCACGTTTATGATCGTGCGACGGTGCAGCAGACAATGGAGATGATGGATCCCAGTTTGCAATCCATCGCGCTCGTATACAGTTTATACCGGTTATTCCACGGTTATTCCTTTTAGGTGGGCGATAACGAATGCCAAAACGCAGCTTTAAGATATTCGCTATTATATATATAATTCATATCATAATATCATATATATAATTATATATCATACAATATTATATTATATTATTATATTCGTATAAATCGAACGGTAATCCCCGATTTCTATTTAGCGTTAGGTAAGTGCTAGAATATAGCGCCACTGACAGGAATATCAACGTCATTGGCTCGTGTTAACAGAAAATAATATATGCTTCGTAACGATTTGCCCGAAACGAAACGAAACGAAACGAAACGAATACTGTCCTTTCTGCGTGAAAGGTAACAAAATCCGACATTTGGCTCACGCAACGCGTCTGCATCCGACGCGTCTGATCGGCCATTTCAATGACACCTGATTGACGGTTTCGGGGAGTAATAAGCGGCGCGTGCTACGAGCACGGGTCGCAGTCACAAGTGCCGCAGAGAAATTCGATTATTCGACAGGAATTTCGCGGACTTTCGATAAAAGGAATTTTTTGCATGAATTTTTTTGCGCGCCGTGTATCGACGGTATTAACGAGCGACTCGTGTCCTTTGCTTTCAGGTTATTGACATTTTGTTATCTGGCCGCGCTGAATTGCTGGCTGCTGCTCTGCCCGGCGACGCTATCCCACGACTGGCAAATGGGATCGGTTCCTTTGGTGGCTTCGTTGGCTGACACCAGGAACATGGCCACCTGCCTGTTTTTCGGCGGCTGCCTCATACTCACGTACAAAGCCTTCACGGATTTCGAGGTGAGAGCACGCGAATCACGAATCAATTACGGTGGAACATCGTCGGTTAGCCGGATTCGTGAAAGAAACACGAATGCGCGGACAATAGGCTCGGTTACTTTCAGGCACCAAAAGTAATAAACACGTGTTTATTATTCAAGTTGAAACTGTTGTTCGAGGAACCATATAATTAGAAGATAAAACATTTCATTTATTGTAGAAAAATATAATTGCAATTAAATGAGAATTTGTTTCGTTGCCAATAATTATTATTGATCACGGAAATTTTATTTCGGTCCATAGCGGTGTAGTAGTAGTAGTTACATAGTAGAATGTTTGATATCTAATCGATAGCGCAAATTCCAATAATTTAACTGTTTCTATAAAATTTCTTATACAATTATTTTTGCATAAAAAACTAATTTATGCTACGATGCTGTATCTTGACACGTTAAAGTTTATTGGCCCATAATTTTCAAATTTTTTAAAATATTGGTAAATATTAAATAGATAATATTAAATTTATCACTGTCAATTAGTCATTGTTGAATGTAATGAATGTTCACCTATATATAATATGATAGCAAAGATAATTTACTTTTTAAGAATCTACGTTCCAGTTTCGAACGTTATCTCGCAGAAAACGTGAGTCTCTTTTTACTCTTCGCGAACAGTTTAATCCAACGTGGTGCGCACAGTTAATGTTAGATGATCCCATATTTCATGATACAATGCGGAACGTTTCGCGCAAAGAAGAATGTTCGCAGTCGTTGCTTACTTGTAGTTTCTTATCAACAGTGTCTAGAAGAAGGCAAAGAAACTTGACCTGGAACGTGACCAAAAGTCTCAAGTTCAAGACAAATGTTACAGCCACTTCCCTTCGCGGATCTTAAAATCGTTTAAGAACTTGCGAGACTTTATCTTTTTATCCCATACGCTATTTCGCCAAATTCTCCACAACATTACCAAAATATATTCAGAGCTATCTACAGGTCAAGAGCATAAGGGGAGGAACTAACTAACGCGCGTCAACTTGGAAGTTCTTCGAAGTCGATACTGCTCAATTTATCGTGTTAGACATCAAAGGGACTTCGTAGCAAGTTTAACATAGCACATTTTCGAAATAATTACAGAAGACTGATCGCACAGAAATATTCAGTATTATTATTAACCCAAATTAATATAAAGAGTTAGTTTCATGAAAATTTCAGACATAACCTGTTACGCGCGAACGTCACTGTTTTCTTTCAAGACAAAATAAAATTCTAGTCTTTCGATATTAACATTAGGGCATTAAGATAAACGTAGATGTATAGTAAATACAAATCTTTTCCGTATAACAAAGAGGTTCTAATCGTTCCAGTTGAAAAGAAAATCATGTGGCTAGGGGTTAAAATGAATATCTAAATTTGCCAACGTCTCTATGCCGAATAGTCTGCGAGAAGCTAATCGGAACAAATTCATTCGTAACCTCTTCATCGTGGGGCATTATTATCGCCAATCGATATCGTTTACTCGCGCTGACAGCGGGGTTAGGAATCTGGCGATGTCGGACACGAGCCGGCGGAACATGGTGAAGTTGAACGATCGGCCAGTTATCGTCCGCAAGAAGTCATTTCGCCGCTAAACGTTTCGACCACGAATGCTCGGAGCAACGAACCGCAAAGTTTCGCGCTGCTAGCTGCCGCAGGCGACGCAGTCGTCTATGATAAAGTTGTACTTGGTTCGAAAGTCATGAAGAAAGTTTCGCGTCGCAACTGCCGAGTCAACCGGCGCGACGGGCCACCTCCGGAACCCTCTGTCTTCCGGGTTATCTGTCGGTAACGCGGCTGAACGTTCACCGTAATGACCTCTTTAAGGTTTACCGTCGCGTAACCGGTTGCTGGCCACTTTTCTCGAAGAAGCCCATATCTGTGGTTTCAATGTTCGCCCTGCTCTTTTTCCGGCCTCCTTCCGCGTCCCGTCGCTGCCTTCGTCGTGCTTGTTCACAGTGGAAATTAGACCCCAAGATCAAGCTACCACCCGCCGTCGTCTACGTTGATAGCAACGCGACGGAGCGGCCGTCTTTTTCTGGGACGAGGCCTCCTCCCTTGCCTTCTCTTTGCCTTGTCGCGATAATCTTTGCGCCTGACATCCGATTTCTGAGATGTTTCTGTAGTAGTGCTTCGTCGCCATTGTTCTCGATGCAGCATTGTCCGCATTCAGCGCGCGTCTTTGACACACTTTGGATGGAGGGCCAGGGTGGGAGGCAGCACCGAAAGCATTCCATGGCTGTTGAAGCTTCGCGATGGAAGTTTTAGAGACTGTTCTTACTTGATGCAGACTACAGGCGACCTTAAAGGTACTTCGGTAGCCTCTGAAAGACCAACTGTTCTCCGGTGACCCTTTGAAGGGACACCTAGGACCTCGAACAGCTTACAGTCCCCGAAGGGCTATTGTCCGTGAAGTAGAATTGGTCCTCGGTGGAATGGCTTAATCGGCCATGGATGAAGATCGAGAATGATTTAGCTGTTGATGAAACGTGGCGTCGGTGAATGCTACAGCATGTTATTGCCGTGATAATATATATATATATATATATATGTCGGATATAACTATTTATAATAGTCGGAGTTACAGCGGTGTTATACCTATCGGATATATCTATAATAATTATATTATTATATTGTTATATATATTATATTATATATATTCGAGAAAACACGATAAATACGCGTGTTGGTCAACGAAACGATGAAATATAATAGAAACGAAGTGGAGACATTTAAAAAAAGAAAAAAAATGAAACGTTCGTTTAATAAGAATGAAACAAATTGCGAGAAATTATGCAACTCATTATATTGCGCAGTAGTACACGAGCTCTGCATTATTTGATACAGAATGAAACATTTACACGCGTATGTAATTTGTCAATAAGTGACTGCATTTTTCTATCGCGTACTTTTTTAATTCGTTAATATTTGAAATGAACTGTCTTTTTTATAAACTGTCCGGACAAAGTATTATCAATAGTTCTAATTGATATTTCACTGGCGATTTTTAACAATTTTATTGTATCAGAAAGTGAAATTGCTATGAACATTGTGAAAACAAGATTTAATTACTGACTTTATTCTTAGTATATATATCGTGTCAGCATCTGACACGAAACTATCCAAATTTTCGAGATTATTAATTTAGAATATTAACCCAAGTTAAAGCATGATAGTTTCAACGTCGACAATCCTATAAAGTCGTCAGAATTTCAGACTCGCGCAATATAGCCATCGCGACATACGTTTAATCTATTAAAAATAACTCGAGGAAACTTCGAACATAAATCGTAATACCAATACGAAGATGCTCGGGCGAGATGCACCGTGAACCGGTCCCCGGCCGAAGACGATTCGACCGACTTCTCGGTGCTCTTTGCTCCTGCATCGGTCGAAGCGACGCGTGTATCCGCTGGTTCGCTACTTTTTACATGTTCCCGAGCTCGTACGGACGAAAATATGGTCGTGAGGGCCATGAATAAATCGTGATTCACGACATCGTTCTTCGTAACTCCGCCCGAAGATATAGAAGATGAGAACTCCGCGCGTATTCCCGCGGTTCCTTTCTCTTCGGGATACGGTTTAAACGGCTTCAAAGGTATAGGAACAAAAGGTTCACTTTTATACCGGAGTTCCGCGGATGGTTTCGCGAACTTTCCGAAACTAGGTTGCAGTTTCTTTACGAATTTACGTCCGACATTCCTTCACGGGATCCGCCGCATGAATATTTTCCTTGGAAATGGAACGTAAGTCCGTTTATTTCAGCCCCCTGGACTTTTTTAATCAAAACTGCGATACGAATATTCGGAATTTCGAGGTACGAAGTGACCCGAATATTACTTCCCAGCCGGTTTATTTGCGACTCGGACCACGATCGAAACTCCCGATTAATATTACACAAGGTTGGAGGTTTAGAGGTTCCGAAACTCTATCGAAGTAGGGTTGTGGAGTCGATTACTGTACGGTGATCGGTTGCTAGGCTTTTGGTTTCTTTTTTTCTATATAATCGATTCAATATTTATCTAATAAGACATTCTAAATTTCTATATCGTTGAATAAAACAATTTAATACGGCTTATTCGATAAATACAAAGCTAATTATGCCCGAAAACAAACCAAATACACAACTGGTCACCCCACGGTAACCGGCTACCCTATTTCAATAATTTTGGAATCTGAAAATTTATTATTTTTTATGTTGTTGTATTAACTTAATTTCCGTTATGATGCAATTCAAAAGTTCATAATTTTTTACTTTGTTTTATTTGTTGTTTATTTATCTTTCTTCATTATGTATCGCCTCTGGTAACGTTGCGACGATGAAATAAATGTTTTCGTTCCTAATTCGAGTAGCATTTACATTTATTAAACACGTCTACCATAAATTTCCCGAAAAGTGTAAGCGTCAATTTAAATATCGACGCAACTATGTCCTGTGAATTTTCTCGGCAAGTTCCAGCAAGCTATTTATCTTTACGACTGGTACGGATCTTGATTGCCTCAAATTACCGCTTCATTCGTTGGCATGCTTACTGCATGTTATTTCTCTTCGCGGACGGGTTCCAATCAGATTCCACTCAAGCGGAATTTTTTCTTTCAAAGATAATGCCCAGATGTCCGAATGCAGTTGATGCGATCGTTGCCAATTTAACTTCATTTCGTTCAATTCTCTCTTGGAAAATAATTTTTACTTATATCCATAATATTCAGGAAGATTGCGCGATTCACTTTTAGTTCTTCCGCTATTCGTTATCATTCGGTAACTTTTAGTGTTGGAAGTTACTTTTTGATCTAATTAGTTGGTTGATCCATTATACAGCATGTACTTGTCCCCATGAACATTAAATGCATCATTTTCATGGGAGAGCTCCGACACCGTTTTGTCGCCCTCTTGTCGTTCAACACTCGTCCCGGTAAGTACAGACGATGGCTTTTCATATTCTTGACAGGCACCGTTGCTATCAATCATACAGCTGCCTTCCCCCGATG